TAAGCATAAAACCCTGGCTGGGCAGATGAGAGAGAGAGAGAGAGAAGGAAAGGTGAGGTAATATGTTTGACAGTTGGCGTCGAAGGTCTAATGCGTGTTTATTTATCAGTCCTTAAGAGTGACAGTTTTTCGCTTATAAAATGCCACTGAAATGACCTGGGAGAATATAATTTACATTGCTGGGACTCTTGTAATATAGTGATTAATTTGAATATAAACATGCTATAATTTGCACTTGACATAAAAATTTTAGTACCGTGACAGTGACACGTTAGACAGTTGTGTCGAAGGTCTAGTGAATTATTTAGATTGAGTTTTTGTTTTTGCTTATAAAATGTCACAGAAGTGACTGGGGAGAATATAATTTACATTGCTGGAATTCTTATAAGATAATGATTAATTTGAATATAATCATGCTATAGTTTGCACTAGACCAAAATTTTTGTAATCATTTAGTACATTATTTTGAGTACATGTACAATGCAACTTTGCCCTTAGGACAGTGTGTGCATCTAAATGAGTAAAAATAAATGAATAAAGCTACATATATCGAGTCAAAAATATTAGTTGAAAAACTTTATGTAGATAGAGCTTGTATGGCTAAATTTTAGAATGACCAATAATTTTAATATAAAAAATGCAAAAATATTCAAGAACACAACTTTCTTGATATTTACTCCGCTGGAAACGAATGTAAACATAGACCCGATTACTGTATTGGCGGACTAGCCGATCAGCTGATGCACACAACAAAGCATGTTTCTCCTAAGGCTTTCGTTAATCACTTTATTCCTTAATGGAACTAAAAATCCTTATGGGAGCTAATTCGTTAACCGAAATTTTGCTAATCGAAACGTTCGTTAACCGAGGGACCACTGTACTTATTTCTTAATTGAATCTATCCACTATGATGTGTCAAATACGTACGTAAAGAAATCTATAACATTATGGAGCATTACGCTAAGTGTAGCTTGGGTTAATGTACAATTAATTATGAGCCTTCTATTAAATAGGATTTCTGTCATCTGGCATAGCCCTGGTCCCAACAAACTATGTTTTTCTACAGTCTTAACTAAGAGAGCTATAAAACAGGAACTAGACGTTTCTCATATCAGCATCCGTTCGACCCTCACAACTCAATGTGTTTGTGTTCTAAAATATAAAGAGACTCCCCATGCATGAAAATGTTAACATGTATATGGTAATTACTTCAAACATGTTTAATTCTAGATACTGTCTAAAAATAAATAAAATTGCTTTATTATTTGAACCGCTCTCATGATTTTACACAAACAAATGATCAGCAAGAGTACTTGGGATGCTTATTCTGGCTGATAATTACTCTTCCTTTAGAGCAGGGGTCACCAAACTTTTTTCACAGTGGGCCGGATAACTGAAAGAATGACAAGTGCGGGCCGCATAATCATTCTGTTCAGTACTTGCAAGCCAGAACGAAAGCCATGGAAACGTCAGAGCGTAGGCGGAGCTACCACGGCGGGCCTGATGAACTGACGTCGCGGGCCGGACCCGGCCCGCGGGCCGTAGTTTTGTGACCCCTGCTTTAGAGGAATGAAGGTTATTAGTTTAATGTGGTGCCTGTCAGAAGAACTCTATGATAGGCTAATTTTATAACAGGGGTGGAAGACATTGCTTTATGAAAGAGTGAGGTACAATACTGTTAACAATTTAGCATGTTAAATAATTTATCCATCAGTTTCTTTGTACAGTACTGTACAATCCATACAGTAACATTATATGTTTATGAATATGTTTATACAGCTGCAATATTACCATAGGGTGCTTTACATAAGAAAAATGTATAATTTGCAGTAAAGCAAACTTTCACTTTCTCTTAACAGGTGTCTGCCACTTCTAGTTTAAGTAAACTGTACTGTGCTGTACTGTGCTGTACTGTACTGTACTGAACTGTACTAAACTGAACTGTACTGTACTGTACTGAACTGAACTGTACTGTACTGCAATGAACTGTACATGTTTATACTGTACTGAACTGAACTGCACTAAACTATACTGTACTGTACTGCACTGTACAGAACTGTACTGTACATGTTTATACAGTACTGTACTGTACTGTACTGTACTGTACTGTACTGAACTGTACTGAACTGAACTGTATTGTACTGAACTGTACTGTACTGTACTGTACTGTACTGTACTGTACTGTACTGAACTGAACTGTACTGTACTGTACTGAACTGAACTAGACTGTATTGTACTGAACTGAACTGTACTGTACTGTACTGAACTGAACTAGACTGTATTGTACTGAACTGAACTATACTGAACTGTACTGAACTGTACTGTACTGTACTGAACTGTACTGTACATGTTTATAAAGTACTGTACTGTTATTGTTTATACAGTACTGTACTGTACTGAACTGTATTGTACTGTACATGTTTATATCAGTACTGTATTGTACTGTACTGTACATGTTTATACGGTACTGTACTGGGAAGGAGGGGGGGGGGAGACATATCAAAAGCTTTGTTACACTGTACAATACACCTCTTCACATATCCGTTGAGACATTGTTACATAACTATTTGACAAATTTCATAACCGAATGACAGAACACATATCGAATGACAATCTAAATGTTCGTTCATGCTAACGGAAGTGATTGACATAGGTTATGAAGTTGACAGATGTGAACAATAAACCGACAGTCTACATATAGTTTGAGAATGTAACAATTGGAAAATGACATACCACCAACAGTTACTTTAGATTGTCATTCGATATGTGTTCTGTCATTCGGTTATGAAATTTGTCAAATAGTTATGTAACAATGTCTCATCGGATATGTGAAAAGGTGTAATGGAATTTCTATCATTCCAAAATGTCTTAAGTAGTACTTAGTTCAGTAAAATGATTTTCTGCTGGATTAACACTGTGTTTGTGTGTGTGTGTGTGCATAGACACCTGTGCTAGCATGTATATATGTTTGTGTAGGTATACTCACAGCCACACACACACACACACACACACACACATATGCAAGGTAATGCACACACAAACATACATGCATTACATAATTCCATATAAATTACCAAAAACCTGCAGTTAAAGTTCAATTCCTGGAACATGTATATATAAGCCTATGGATAATAAATGAAAAAGAATCATATTTTAACATGGTAGTGCAAGGAATAAGTACATTTAACCAGTAAAATTGGTCCTCACTTATCAAACAATATTCCACCACCCTCAAATAGTTATTGTGTACATACATGGTCAACCTTCTCAGGCTTTATGTGAAAACTAAATACTGTACTGCAGTCAATCTTGAATACTTTGAAAACTAGTGACATTGTTGGACCAAAGAATCACAATAATGGCAAGTTTTGAACTACATAAACTTTTTTTTAACAATATTTTATGATACAATAGGTATTTGCAAATGTCAAAATATATCCAAGCAATATTATGATTATAACTACAAGTGTGAGTAAATGTGAGTGTGTGTGTGTGTCCACATATACAGTAAAATTAGTTCCACACACACTGCAATTTTAAGCTTCTGCAATTAACATCTGCCCTTAAAATATCATATGTAATATTCTGAGACTTCATTCTAATTCACTCTGAAATAAACACCAAACTTTTTTTTGTTACAGTTCTGTACAGTATATAGGACAGTGGAGATTCAAATATGATGCCTTAAACCATTTCAACATTTCAAGATAAAATATAATAGACATGATCTATCTTCAGTACACTTATCACAAACTTTACCTAAAACTACTAATAAAATAGTTTTCACTACATCAACCAACTAATAAAATAGCCTTTACTACCTTAAACAATTCATAAAATAGTTTTTCTACCTCAAACAACTACTAATACACTAGTTTTTACTATTTCAAACAACTACTGTTGCAATACACTACTTCTAACAGTTACTTTTTTTTTTTTACATCAACTACAGTACCTTTATTTCTGAACCAATTACACGAGGGTTTTCTGATGGTGTCTACTTCGATGATGTACTGTATTATGTTGACACTCATGTTGTTCTCTTCATCCAATAAGAGGGAGAACATCCTAAGAAATATCCATGAATAATGTTTGTCAAATTCTGCATAATAATTGTATTACCTGAAAAATTGGCTTTGCTTGAGACGAGGCAGTAGTACAGTGCAGGCGCTGGTTACAAGCACAATGTTCATGGTACATTCTACTATTCATGGAAATGAAACACCAGTGACTGATTAATTTACAATCCTAATAGATTTAGAATAATGGTTTTAAAAGCATACAACACTGGGGTCATGAATGGAAAGTTTAAAATGAGATGAAGAAGGAAAACTTTGCTTTTTTGTAAAGTCACCACTAGTGTTGTGTTGTTGTGTGGTGAATATCACCAGTCACTTGGCAAATAATATAAGTTATATTTAGTAGTACTGGTTAGTTGTAATGTTGTTGGTTTTTTGGGGGTGGGAGGAAGGAGTTAAATTGAGTTTATATTACAAATAATTACTGTATATACAAGAGGAAAGTGTGGAATCACACTTTCAAAATTTCCCTGAAGAGATATATATTGGATATGAACATACTAGTTATTATGACTAGTCCAGTACTGTCCAAGCAGCACAACTGCTTGGCTGCACAAAATTATCAGTAATTTTAGCATAAATAATTTAAGAATCAAATGTTTATAGTGTAAATTATTTTTTAACCTGCCCCTCTCTTTTCTTTATTGAACATTGTTTCTGTATCTTACCTATCATTTTAGTTTTATGTGATTCTTCTAACATAAACAAACTAAAATTATATTCCATAGTAAATGGAGCTTTAGTGTACATACATAAATACACATACACACATAAATTACAATACAGTACTGTATCATTTCATTATATATATATATATATATATATATATATATATATATATATATATATATATATATATATATATATATATATATATATATATATATATATATATATATATATATATATATATATGACACACACATGCACAATTTACCTCTACTTTACTGTCTGTACTGTACATATATATTTCTTGTGTACATGATATGAAATTAAGATACAGTATTTTGATCCTACAGTACTTCATAAAGTGTAGCCAATGAGTAAAGATTTGCAGATTTAAAATTTTAAATTCATACACTGCATGTAAATTGGGAAAAAAGAGAGTTGTTAAGACTACAAAAGGTAAATGCACAACATTAATTTGTGGAATTTCATGTACTAAACCTGGAATTCAGATTGTTTCCTGCACAAGGGATGATACTGAACCACTTTGTGTGCAGACGATTGTTTATTCTGCAGGTGTCGCTTTGTCTTCAGTGGTGTTGGCAGCATTTTGAGGATGAACCTGTTCAACACTGCCCTCTACTGCCTCCATGGCAGTTTCTGTAAATGAGAGAGCTATGTAAAATGAATTAGTACACATAATTAAATAACCTGTACTGCACTGTAATTTAGTCTGTAAAATAACAGAGTGCAAAATCAAATACCTGTACAGTAATTTAGTCTATACAATAAAATAATTCAGATTGCAGAATTAAATAAATAGTTTATCTTTCATACAATTGTAGAAAGATACAGGTTAACCCTTCCTTATTTGGCATTCCATCAGCCAGTAACTCCCAATTAACAGCTTAATGAACTGTCACATAGTTGTCTGATTGGTCACTTGACAGAGTTTGTTTACACAGCCATTGTTGCTGTGGTTGCAGTCCTGCTGCTGGTGTTGTGTGTTTATAAACATTTAATTATGATTCGACCTCCAATTCCCATTACAGATTGTCACGAGAGTGACCAATAAATACTCTTGTCTCAAGTTACCCCAAGAAGAAGAGAGACAGACTGATTATTTTTGAGAAACCTGAGCGGCTGAAAAAGTTTGATCACGGTATTTCTGTTCACAAGCTTTCCAAATGTATGACGTTGATATTTATACAAACAATTATCTTTATTAATCTATGGGTGTGTTGAGTGAAATTTGAAGGTTCCCCAATTTTTTTTTGGGGGGGGGGGGATTCTTGAATATGTACGTATATAAAAATAAGAATAATAATAAAAAAAAAAAAATCACACACTCAATTACCCTGTAGAACCTTCTAGATATAAAGAGACAATTGCAGTTAGACTTGCTTACATAAGTATGCAATTTTTCTTTAGAAACTGTCCCAAATTGTGAATAATGAGTGCTTTGTAGAATATGACTTGCATCAAAAAACAGCAAATGAGCGTCATTTTGGAGGTGTAATTCGAACATTAATAAACAACATGAGCATGGTAAAGGAAGACCAGTTGATGATCAGTCCTGAGAGGAAGAATACGATGTACTAGTTTTGCATAAATCAATCATTAACATAACTTACATACAGTACAATACCGGGTACTTATTTAATGGAAATTTAATTATTGTCTGGCATAGCCAGATAAGAAAGGGTCAAACTGTAGAGCAAAATGAACTGCTTTGCTACTTCCAAGACATAATGTAGAAGCCAGGTGTGAGATATACAGATACAGAAGAGTCAGGAAAAGGGTGAAGTTAGAGTTGGAAAACACAAGCATAAAGAAAAGGGAGACTACAGTAAGGGTCATGATACCTTTGTTGATGGGTGTACATAGAGTATATGATACAATACTGTACTTGACATTCATTTATGCTATCAACTGGGAGATAAATCCATCATAAACACAAGAGAAAATTATTACAGTATTTTACAACTGGCTACATGTTAATCCACATATTTCTGTACAAGTAATCAAAGATATACAACTCAGTACCTGTTGATGTTTTATCATCTAGGTGCTCTGGGTCAGTCTTCAGCTGTGTTTCTGTGGCTTCCATGGCTGGATCCATGAATGAAGACTCAGATATCATTGTACTGTTGCTACTAGTGGTGAATGATGACCACAAGTTGGTTATAGCCCCACGAGCTGATGTTAGAGCGCCTCCTGCACAATGATTACAATGACAGGTACAGTTATATAAGAAAGATAATATACAAGGACTCCTAAGGGTCAATATACCATAAAAATCTGTAAGACAGTTTGCATACAGTACAGTACATTTTTTGAGATACTCTGTACAGTAGAACGTTAATTTAAAGCGATTAAATTTAAGATTATTCATTTAAAGCGACACCCACAATTAATGACAATGTTTTAATTTAAAGCGAATCTTTCCTATTTTGCGCGAGTCAATCTGGCGCATCGTATTTTAAAATTCGCGCCAAATGTTTCTCTGGGCACGCTACACTGTCCTAAGGGCAAAGCTGTACTGTATATGAACTCAAAATAATGTACTAAATGATTACTAAAATTTTGGTCTAGTGCAAACTATAGCATGATTATATTCAAATTAATCACCATCTTATAAGAATTCCAGCAATGTAAATTATATTCTCCCCGGTCACTTCTGTGACATTTTATAAAAAAAAAAAAAAAAAAAAATCAATCTAAAGGACATAAGTAAACAAATAAATACTTCACTAGACCTTCGGAGCCAACTGTCAAACATGTCACTGTCACCTCCCCTTCCTCCTTTCCCCCCTCCCAACCAGGGTTTGGTGGTTAAATAGTAGGCTTCAAGTTTTTATCTTGTATAATATCACAGACTAAAGTTACGAGAATATAATTTACATTGCTAGAATCCTTGCAAGACAGCGAATAATTTTAATATAAACATCGTATATTATGCACAAGAGATAAATTTTTTTAGCCCTTTGTAATAAATTTAATTAGAACATGCCAGTTCAGTGACATTTTACAAGAGAAAAACTTAGAAACTCTTAAGGACAGATAAGTAAATAAGCACTAGACCTTGGCATCAACTGTCAAACATATCACCTCACCTACCCCCCAATCTTCACATCAGCTGATCGCTAGTAAACAGACCATTTCACGTCCCATAATTTTAGCTGTGTTGATTTATGAATGTTTGCTTTAACATAATACTACAAAAAATAATGTTTTGTTTATTCTAGGAGATGGACTGAGGTGCATCTGGGTACTCTTAGTCTTTTTAGTAATTTGTTTCTCTCAAGTACCAAACTAAATTAATCCATTGAAACAACACTTTGATTTCGTGTGAATTCGGTTTAAAGCGACCTCTCTTGGAATGTATCTCGTGTTATATCGACGTTCTACTGTACTGTATATCAACAAGTCATCATGTACTGTACATATTGCAACAAAAGGAATATATTTTATTTATATGATGCTTGCACACCAAGTGGTCATATGCCAAGAGTTAACACTTCTCTCAGAGTGTCATTCTTCTGTAGTTTTACAATGACAATACAATATATGATATTGTACTGTAATGTACTGCATAATATTTCATAAGTGAGTACAGTAATGAGGATGACTGGTTCATTATTTTTCCTACAAGTAAAAACAAACCTTAAGTTGTCTTTTCTTGACCCCATCATCTGTAACTGCTACTGACAAATCTCAAGGTGACTCTACATAATACTATACAGGTTGACAATCCCTTATCCGAAATCCTTGGGGCCAGAGGCATGTCGGATTTTGGAATTTTTTGGTTTTCAGAATTTTTTTTTTTTTTTTTTAATGTATAGCCCACCGGATAGATCACTGACCCACATCAGGGCCTGGGGCAAAAAATTATAATAATAATAATAATAATAATAATAATAATAATAATAATAATAATAATAATAATAATAATAATAATAATAATTCATAGGTCTAGGTCGTGTTTCTCACTTTTGATCTTTTTTTCATTCTTGTATTTCTTTATTATTATTATTATTATTGTTATCATTATTATTTTATTTTGGTGTATTTTTATTAAATTTTTTATTTACTATGAATAATTATTATTATTATAATTATTATTACTATTACATTTTCGCCCCCCAGGCCCTGATGTGGGTCAGTGATCTATGCCCGGGTGGGCTAATCCCTGTTTAAAAAAAAAAGAAAAAAAAGCCCCACACACAAAAAAAACTTTCGGTTTTCAGAGCTTTTCGGAATTTCGGATAAAGGGTTGTCAACCTGTACTACCATAATAATTTGGCTCTACATGATGTACCACAATTTAATGTGACTCTATATAATCTATCATACTAATGTAACTATGCAATATTATAACAGAATAATAAATAAAGATTCCAATGTAGGTGGTAGCCAAGGGTGGAAAACAATGTTACAGCCAATGATGACAAAAAATCTGGCAGCCAAGTATGGTAAACAATCTGGTAACCAAAAGTGGCAAACAATATGGCAGCCACGAAGTGCAAATAATGTGATAACCAAGGATGGCAAACAAAACTTTTTCACCTGCACACAAACAACTTGAGGTGCCTTCTTTTGACAGAGCCTTAAATCTTTACCTGACATGCCTTTCATATTGTTTATTCTTCTGTTCAATAATACATCAAAAGTACACCTGTTGTTTCCCACTTAGTACTTAGTACACCCATTCCTTCCCACTTAGTACATCTGCTCCTTCCCAGTTAGTACACCTGCTCCTTCCCACTTTGTACATCTGCTCCTTCCCACTTAGTACACCCATTCCTTCCCACTTAGTACATCAGTTCCTTTCCACTTAGTACACCTGCTCCTTCCCACTTTGTACATCTGCTCCTTCCCACTTAGTACACCCATTCCTTCCCACTTAGTACATCTGCTCCTTTCCACTTAGTTCACCTGCTCCTCCCCACTTAGTACATCTGTTCCTTCCCACTTAGTACATCAGTTCCTTCCCACTTGGTACACCCATTCCTTCCCACTTAGTACATCCATTCCTTCCCACTTAGTACATCTGCTCCTTCCCACTTAGTACACCTGCTCCTTCCCACTTAGTACACTTGTTCCTTCCTACTTAGTACACTTGTTCCACCCAACTTTGAACATCTATCCCTTTTCCTCCTACATAAATCTGTTCCACCCTACTACAAAAATCTGTCCAGAGAAGAAAAAAGGATATAAATACAGAACCACTTACCTACAGCCTCCTTGGTCTTGACAACAGCTGTGCCGGTGGTGGCGAGAGTTTGATTGATGCGCCGGCCTTTGTCTAGACCTTGGATGGTACTAAAAATAGATAGATAAATAAATAAATAAATAATTACATAAGTGATTGATTTGGAGCAATTGAATATTGGTCCGGAAGAAGTAGGGGGAACCTGTTCTTACGTAACTATTCTATTCCAACACAGGTCAAAGGTTCTTGACAGGATTTGACATTATTTATCATACATGTTTAAGTTCTATGGTTTGAAGTTGGCATGGCACTGATTTGTTGGTGGTACAGAGATATGTGTGTGTGCAGTATCTCTCACTACTATGACCTGGGTTTGAGTCCTGACCCTGGACAGATGTGAGAAGGGTGTTATCCAGTGAGACCCTACCAAACATTCCAGGCTTCCTCTGGGTACAGCACAGGTACTTTAGTTTCCTCCTGTACTAACACTGGACAATAAAGTTCAAAAGAAAGTAAAAAAAAATGGACCAACCCCCCAAACAGCCAGTGAGCTGACAAGATGTGAAATGATAAATTAAAATTAAATAATATTAGTGTCTCCTTTGCATACAAACACACACAGGTTTCAAAAATAGTACTGTACCAACTTTGGACCCCTAACATAACTACAGTCATGCGCCGGTTAATGTCCGACCGAACAACGTCCGATCGCATATACGTCCGTGGCCCCCCCCCCAAAAAAAAACAAAAAAAAAGTGACGCCTGCTGGACCACCACTCCACGACCCCCTGACGAGACATGATGATCCTCCCCATACTGGTCAGATATTGTGTGTTAAAGGAATATGCTTCCTTAGGTTTTTTAAGCATTTGCCTACAGGTGAAATGTTAACCTACATCTATTGAGGATAAAATCTTTCACCTACAAATTGACAATAACACATTTGCTGTAATCAGACATATCTAGTTGCCTCAACAATTGCAACCCCAGTTGCAATTGGGGTTGCAATTTCAAATTCTGTGGCATTACTAAAAATAGTAAAATTTCTGGTGCACTCTAAGATTAAGAGAGAAAACGGAGGACTCAGGCGTCCTGATGTGAGAGAAAACGGACTCGTATGACGGGGGACCAAATAAAAAAAGCATAGCTACATGTTTTGTGGACTACAGTATTAAGCGTACCCTTTTCATCACTTTGTAATAAACCTGGCCATGCCCATGTGTGTTTATGATATTTACCATAACATTTTATATATATTTAGTGGGTCTAAATGGTCGTAAAATGGGAAACTTGGGGTTGGGTCTTGGGTAAATGAACCAATTAGAATAAATCCCATAGGTTCTGTACTTTCGTTATCGGTGGGGTCCCAATTAGGCGCGATAACCAAGGAATGACTGTACTGTATATACTTGTGACACTGGCCAGTTGCTTCTGGTGTTATGGTACAGGGGTACCAAGTGACAGCACTAGGATCCCGCTTCCTCTGTCAAGGAATAAACAATTAAAATTTAAATTGAAAAAAAAAAACCATTCAAATAAATTACTATCTTACAAGAATCCCTCCAATGTAAGTTATATTCACCCAGGTCGTTTGGGTGGAAAATTATGAGAAGAGCTTAGTCACTCTTAAGTGATGATAAATAAACACGCAGGCAGGCCTTCAGCGCCAACTGTCAAATCTTATCTCAAATAAATAAACAAACAAACGCCAGACATTCTGTCACCTTGTAGTGGCTCCTCTCCCCTACAACTCCCAACTGAGCTCCGGCCACGCGCCTACCAGCCAATCAGCGTACAGCCAGCTACGCTGAGAGACTAGGTCTATGCAGAGGACGCAGGGGTACGATCGCTGACCTAGTCTCGACCTTCAACCTCCGGTTCAGGATCAGAGCGTTTCACACCTTACGCTTAAGCCGCTGTGATTGGCCCTCTCGCTACGCTCACCCCAAATCCTGATCCTTGTAAATTGTATAAATACGGCCATGCCTGGCCAGGGAGACCATTCTACACTCGGCTACCGGACCAGCAACATCTCTCACAGCTCCTTACCACTCAGCTTCCTCAGAAACCTCCTCGCCCTACAGGACCTCTGAGCAAGTTTCTCCTTACCTAGTCACTCCTAAGCACTGCGCTGTACAACAATATATACTGTATACAGAAAGCGCATTGTGAGTTTCTATCCTACCTCATTCCTGAGTGTGAGATATCTACATGTACGTACGTTTGTGTTCCCATACAAAGAGAATTGACAACTGGCCACATACAGTACGCTACAACCCCCCGCTGTCTTCCCACCACCCTCGTGTTCAAGATAAAAGATTGGTGATTTCTTTATGTTTATTTTATATAATATCTCAGACTAAAGTTAGGATAATATAATTTGCATTGCTGAAATCCTTGCAAGACAGAGATTAATTTGAATATAAGCGTCATATATTTTGCTCAAGATATAAAAAATGTAGTACATTAGTGTACAATACTGTAGTACATTTATAAAAAGTTTTTCAACTGTTAGATTTTCACCCATTTACATGCACACACCATACTAAAAGAAACGTAAAATAAATTAGTGCAAAGCTGGATGTACATGTCTAATTTGATTACGGTACTAAAATTGTTATGTCAGTGCGAATTACAACATGTTTATATTAAATAAATCAGTATCTTACAAGAATCCCAGTTGTTAATTATATTCTCCTAGGTCATATCACTGGCATTTTAAAATGAGAGAAGCTTAGTAGGACTGTTAAATAAACACACAGAGACCTTCGGCTCAAACTTATCACTCAACCCCCCACCCCTCGCTGGCTCTCGTCCCTCCCTCCCTAATCTGCTCAACCGGGGGTTTATTTAGGCTTACAGTTTTTATCTTATATAATATCTCAAACTAAAGTTAGGAGATTATAATTACATTGCTGGAATCCTTGCAAGACAACCAATAATTTGAAATAAATCATATATTTTGCTCAAGAGATAAAAATTGTTGTACATTAGTGTACAGTACTGTAGTACATTTATAATAAAAAGTTTTTCAACTGTATTTTTGGGTAGATTTACATAAATTTCTTCATTTATTTTCATCCATTTACATGCACACACCATACTAAAAGAAACGTAAAAGAAATAAATGACCTTAGTGCAAAGCTGGAGTGCACATGTACTAATTTGATTACGGTACTAAAATTGTTATGTCTAGTGCGAATTACAACATGTTTATATTCAAATAAATCAGTATCTTACAAGAATCCCAGCTATGTTAATTATATTCTCCCAGGTCATATCACTGGCATTTTAAAATGAGAGAAGCTTAGTAGGACTGTTAAATAAACACACAGAGACCTTCGCCTCAAACTTATCACCTCAACCCCCCCAACCCCTCCCTCTGGCTCCCTCCCCCCCAGCCAGGCTTTTAGGCTTACAGTTTTTATCTTATATAATATCTCAGACTAAAGTTAGGAGATTATAATTTGCATTGCTGGAATCCTTGCAAGACAGCCAATAATTTGAATATAAACGTCATATATTTTGCTCAAGAGATAAAAATTGTTGTACATTAGTGTACAGTACTGTAGTACATTTTATAAAAAAGTTTTTCAACTGTATTTTTGGGTAGATTTACATAGATTTCTTAGTGCAAAGCTGGAGTGCACATGTACTAATTTGATTACGGTACTAAAATTGTTTTGTCTAGTGCAAATTATAGCATGTTTATATTCAAATTAATCAGTATGTTACAAGAATCCCAGCTATGTTAATTATATTCACCCAGGTCATTTCACTGGCTTTTTATAAGAGAGAAGCTTAGTCACCTAAGAACTGATAAATATACACGCTTTAGACCTGGGCCTGTGCCAACTGTCAAACGTACTACCTCCCCTCCCCCCACGCCCCCTTGCTCGCTCCCACCCTCTCTCCCATCTGCTCGGCGTTGCTGGAATCCTTGTAAAACAGTGAATAATTTTAATATAAACGTCATGTATTTTGCACAAGAGATAAAAATTAATCACCTGTATCACATTACACTAGTGATTTAACAGTAAAAGTGTATATGTACGTATATAGTATTCCACATACACATAAGTATAAATAAAAAGTTTATGTGATGATCGGACAACGTCCATTTCGGTTAACGTCACGTTTCCAAGAACGTATCTAGGACGTTAACCGGCGCATGACTGTACACAATTAACTGAATACAGGTATCCCTCGATTCATAACTGGGTTGCACGCCTGAAAATTTTATCTTAAAAAATTATCATATTATTCCATTGGGAGATATATTACTTACATAAAAAAAAAAGGATACAAAGGCAACAATTTAACGAAAAACAAAACAGTCAACTGAGATAGTCTTAAGACTCTACTGATGGCCATCGGCTTAGTGTGATATCTTACCACTCAGGGTATTGCTGCTGCTTATTTAACTTGCTGATCACTTTCTTGGCACCTCTAAATAGGGCATATCACTTGGAAAGTTCAAGAAATTGCTAGAGAATTCTGTTGAATCAGGGAGGTGAAATTGAAAGACCCCATAGGCTTGTAAACAAAGTTTTTACAATAAAAGACAATCACTAAGAGAAATAAAGCAGTGGCATGTTCTTAATGAATACTAGGCATGCATTGCATGCCTAGTAGAAAGCAAAATATATTTTTAAATAGTATCTTCAATAATACTAGATTTAATTTTAGTCTTCACAGTTTTCACTCAGGAAAGTTGAGAACCTAGCGTCCCTCAATGCATGCAGAAGGATAAGCCACATGTCCTCAATGGACATATAACATAACCATCCTATCAATAACATGCTAAAATGAACTTTATTGTGTTGGAGCATAAGGAATTTGAGCCATTTTAGTCAAATTTAATACCTTTTTCCTTTAATAAGCAAGAAGTCTTATATTATATGGTGATATTATATTACCTACGAGTTGTTGTTCCATAAGAGTGGCTATTTAATAAGGTTTCTGAAAATGTAATGGGTACAAATGCACGCAATTCGAGAACTACATTCACTTGTCGAAAGGCTATGTAGACCAGCTGGACAAAAGTGGTCCTCATTATCAATTTAATATTTCTAAATAACCCTACAGTCCACTTTCAGTTATAGTTTTTCACTTGGGAAGTTATTCAGTTTTCTGTTTTACTTGAAATAATAACAGGATCATATAAATAAAAATATTTACTAATTACAGTGGGGCATGCTATAACGAATCTAATTGGTTCTAGAACCTTGTTCGTTATAGCATTCGTTCGTTATAGGATTAATCCGTTCCAGGCCCCCAAATACAACCACTTAACACTGAAAAATATAATAAAATTGTAAAAATTGTAAAAAAGTGCATAAATATGCATCTAAACCCCTGAAATAAAGAATATCATTAATACTTGTAATAAAAAACAATAAATTATTAAAAAAAAAATAAAAATTTTAAATAATGTTCGTTGTAGGAGTTTCGTTCGTTATAGCATTCTCAATTTTATAGGTAAAACCGTTCGTTATAGGAATATTCGTAGTAGGATCCGTTCGTTATAGCATACCCCACTGTATTTAAATGTTCCAATAAGATCATTGGCAACTTTACAGAGGGCCAGCATTGTGCATGATGCCCAATAATTTTTTTAAACTACAGTACTTATTTCTAAATTACTGTAGATCACACTGAAAGCTTAATATTCTTTTGCCGTAAGTATTTTTACACCCATTATTTAATGATTTCTAATAGATACTTTGTCAAATGCCAATGATATAATTTAAGAAATTAGGTGTTTATAAAAGCTTGACAACCCTTATTTAGAGAAAGACCATATACTACTTGATATTTGATTTGATAACTGATATATGTGGTGTTCTGCATGCCTTAACAGTACAACCACAGTACGCCACTGAAATAAAGGTGTATTTTTCTTTACTATCGTTAAACCAAAATATAGTGAGGGATACCTGTAACCAGTGTAGATAAATTATTACAGAGAAGCCCCCCCCCCCCCAAAAAAAAATAAAAATCTTACTGTGAGAGCCTAATTCTCATGTCATTCATGGAGAGGTTGCCAGCATGAGGATGCCCCGGGGTCAGCTCCATCAAGGTCGGGTATGGGCCTGATGCCATCCACACACGATAATTGTGGGTTCCTTTCCAGGCAGACATAAAGCTTCCATTGAATACTTCACACTCACGACTACCCTCTGGCAAGTAAAGATGTCAGGTGAACTCTGGTCAGTATGTGGTGAACTAGGGATATATTCACAAAACTGGAATCATTTCATTATACATTATATTACAGTTATCATTAGGTTAGGTTAAGTCAGGTCAGGTAAGCTTTTATATTTGCTTATTAGGTGTGTCAACCATAGAGACAGGCTGGTGGTGGAAATATGATAGGAAAGATAGACTGAAAAAAAAAGATGATTAGAAAAATCCTTATGAGATGAGAATTATCACATTCTTGCCATATTCACCTGGGCAGACAGACGATCGTAAGAGGGAGAGAAGGTAAACTTTAAACTGGTAACGCAGCCACTCCTCACCGCCCACCCAGCCAACGCCCTCCAGGAAAACATCTGGGTGGTTTTTTATGGGAGATGTGCCATTGGGAGCTTTGTTGTTTAAGGTTGCACTAACTGCCTCCACCTAGAATAAAAAAAAAAAATCAATATTAAGAAACCTTGCCTTTTCTAATGCTTACCTTCCTTTCAAGTTTTCTTAAATACTGTACTTGTAAGAATATAGTACTGTACAGTAAAGTATCTGTCAACCGAAAATCTACTTTACTAAATACCATGAATATTATGTCGACAATATTTGTCGATGTCTAATGTTCAAACTAAAGAATTATCACTGGTAAAGTCTATACAATCAATAATGAGCTGATGACTTTTCTTTCACGATATCAACCACAGAGACAGCCAATGAGGTACAGGAGACCATTTGTTTACAGTTCCTGGTACATCACTCCCAACCTCTGTTTACCCAACCACACAAACCTGTCTTTAGTTTTTTGCGGTCATGAACAACATTAAGTCTTGTACATGAAAATATTCTGGCTTTGTAATTAGACCACTAATTTCTATAACTTGGCTATGATAAATCAATGTCATTAACTTGAATGCTCCTGTTCTTTATAAAGAGTGCTATACAGTACTAATACTGAGCTACTATACCTGTCGAACAATGTTCTCTGCGAAACGGAGATCTTCAGTAGAAAGGCTTAATTGGCGCTTCAGGTCTGGATCAGGTATCTCTATCTTGCCTTCCTCAAGCTATAGAAGATGAACCTCACATAATATCAAGAAAATGTAAATAAAAAATAAAAATATATGGCAATTCAACAATATTGTACTGTAAAGGGGGTGATGTATGAAGCAGCATAGACCAGCCTAATGGATATCTTATGGCCTTGTTGTAAAAGGTTGACCCCACAGCTGAACACATCTGGTATGGCAGCAAAAAAAAACAAACACAAGTAACTGATGGAGGAAAATCTATCTTGCTATTGGTTCTCGCCATCCCCTGCCAACCAGAAAAGGCTTGAAGAAATCGTAGTACCCTTACTGTTTACAATTTACAAATCATTGTACTGTACTGTTAAAAACTGAACTTTCATTAACAAAGACAAAGGTCGACTACACCTAACAAATCTATCCATACCTGGCTTTACATTACATATAAATGTTAAGCAAATTCACCAAAGCATCAACTGGACACCAAATTAGTCTGTTTCCGCCAGGATGGAGGACAATTAATAAACACTAAATCCAGGTTAAGTTTAACTAATAGGGGACTGCAGTGTTTCTAAATCTGTCTACAATCAATAACTACAATTAATTTGTTTCTGTACACACTGTCCTCAGGGTAAAGTTGGAAGGGACATGACACAAGAGCCTCCATGCTACTCATCTATCTCTGGCTTCATCCATTCTCCTCCTAGTCCATCTTCCATTACCAACTCCTTCACTTATCTCTTCCAGATAATACAAAAATTAGTTGTGTGTTATGGATGATGGTCATACAGGATGATAAAATAAAGATGACAACTTTAAAGTCAAATTAATAAAACAGGATGAAAATAAATGAACAAATTTCTTATTGATAAGTTCTTACACCTGAACTTACTGATTTCCAAATTAGTGTTTAATATGAAATCAAAATCTAATCTAAAAAGTACAAAATAGCTATAGACATCCCCCAATATATGAAATATCAATTTACAAAAATTATCTGTTTTGAACTGTTGAAATAAAGGAACAAAGTTAAATATAACTAGAAAAATTACATAGGTGTGAAATCTATTCTAAATTACATAAAAAAGTGTAACCTGTAGTATTTCACTAAACACCAAATAATCTATATATATATACTGCATAGACAAAAACTAAAATTCACTACTGTAAGCTAAAAGGAACATATTGAAATTGTTGTAGTCATCTTGGCTCACAGGACCGGTACAGGAATCATTAACCAGACAATGACCCAAGGATCCCGGCTGTGGGGGCAGTACACCGATGTTTACATTATCCAGCTAAATAACAATACCTGTACATGTATGGTGTACAATGAAAGATTTTAAAATGAATGTGTGTACTGTAGCATTCAATATTTAATCTCTCAATAACTACCATGCTGTTCAGTAACATTTATATTATGTATTGTACTAACATACCAAGATAATTTGTAGGTCAAATCACATTTTCTTCTATATACGTATTCCTTTTAATTTTCAGTAAATAAAATTATGTGACTATACTATTGTTAGTTTATAATGTAAATCTTGTTTACCATTAGCTGCATGCTTACAAGTCTTTGATGCCATTATAAGTAAGTTTTTGAGGCCGATTTTTTTCCCAATTTTATTATGAAAGTCAATGGGAAAATCACATTTGCTTTATGAAATATTGATTTACAAGTGGTTTTTCATGGACAGAACTTTATCATAAAAAAAAAATGCCGGTACAGCAAAGTGTAAAATTATAATGTTGAGAAATCTACTAAATTCTCCCCAACATTAAAAAAAACAGCTCATGAATATCATAATTTAAATGCCCTAATGAATATAGGGAATACTGTATCATTACTATATCTCCTTAAAAAGGGACTATTAATAATGTTTAAACTACAGGAGTATTTACATTTTTTGCTTGTCTAACACTACAGTACATCTCAGAAAGAAAAAAAATTCTCACCTGTACAAGAACATCATAAAGATGTTTCTTGTGGATGAAGAGAGTGTTGGAAGCTCCTACCAGGAAAGCTCGAGAAGTTGGAGCACTCAAGACATCCAAATATTGTAATGATAGGTACGGGTGCACTAAGTTACCCTGCAACACACACAATAAATCACATTAAATTATTAAAAATAATTACAGTATCGAATAAATTATGGGGAAGAACATCCTGGAATATATTTGAAAATGACAGTGTACTGTATGAAAGAGCATCTGTGTTGCTCTTGATTCTGACCACCCTGCAATGATGAGAAAATGGGCTTGCAATCATTTGGGGAAAAAAAAGTAAGAATTAAGAACAATCAGCAGAATTTTACATGAACCATAAACTTCCACAAACCTTGGTAAATATCTCAAGTGGTAGCCCACAATCTGATGGAATGAGAGCAGCAAATTTTTCAGGTGGTGACTGGAATGATGCGAGCATATTTTCAGGTTCAAGTGGTAATGGTTCCTGAGAGAGGGAGCCACCAGTGGTTGGGGAAACTGGGATATCATCTCCTGGTTCACTAGGTGATGGGTTAGGAGTTGCTGTTGAAGCTGTTGAGTGAAAACAATAATACCATTTGTGAGTAGTCCTTGTTTATTGGAAATTTGCTGAATGCATTTTCAATTTACTGGATTGCAATTAAATTTTTATGATCAAAGACTCAATTATTGGAATGTGTTTCATTTTATCACAATGCTATCAAAAAAAAAATTTAAATGTACTGTACAAGTGAATCAACGAGAGCCTTCTCGATGCTTGTGAAGCAAGCGTTGTTTACACACTGGCATATACCCAATTACAGTACAGTGATCCCTCACCAACAACACATTTACCAACTGTGGTTATAACTCTCCACACTTTATATTCTATATTGTACAGTGTTTTACCAACCACATCCTCCACTTCTAAGTATCCATGAGTTTCCATGGCTACCTCAGGAATTTCTACCCCAGTGCCATGAGAATGTTTACTGGACCAGGACTACCAAGTGGTTTATTTTAATTACTTCATCAGATATATTCCTCAAACAACAATTTGTCATCATCTACCAGATCTAGACCAAGTTTTTTCTTCAACCTCTTTAAATATAAATAAATGTGCTTATTGTCATCATTCATATTATATGCTAAATGGCTTTTTATCACAAAAACATGAGTTACATCAATGAGTGTGTGCACTTTGGGGGTAGCTAATAAGTGTGGTTGTCAGACTATGATGCAGATATAACCCTACTGACAGGCCCACCAATTATATATAGAATTTTCAAGTGTACATTTCTGTTGGTAGGGGAGTGTTGAGGCCAGTCTGCACAAGGCATCGGGCAGACTGTTCCATTAGTTTTGTAAATACCTGCAGTGTACTGTATAGCATTTTTCTAGAGTATGCTGTAATATAAAAAAAAAATAATACTGTATTGCATACAGGTAAACCCTGTACTTATTCTAAACCCTGAGCTGTACAAGAAAGGATTTTAGGAATCTTTCTGGGGTCACTTCCCCAAACCCCTTATTTCCTATGGGACCCAACCCTTGTCAATCATTGTTTTACCAACTGCAGGAAAATGCTGTTTCCCATTTTCCTATACACTCCCACCATAAAAGTTGAAATAAGTTCATGTTAAAAAAATAAAAATCTTACACAAATTTCATCCTATAATTAGAGATACGTTCTAAAAAAAAAAATGCTTGACCCCTAATGAATTAATGCGTCACCCCAAATTCCTGTTGCTTTGTTTACATGGCGCGAATACTACCGTCAGTCACCTGGCACCACACTCAAGCTTATGTGTTGCCTGCATTATCCACACCTCTAAACTTTTGTTCACTTCCAAATTACTTTCTCTTATAACTGAACATCTTTATTGTACATAATTACCAATGAAATTCAAGAATAATTTAATTATGTTTAATTTGCCATATGAGGCGCCCTGCATCGTATGTGTTATTCGCGCCCAAATTTGAAACCGAAAAAAAACGTGTTTAAAACTTTTCCCACTTCAAGCATGCATAACTTTGTTGTTTTTTGAGATACATCATTCATTTTTCATACATTTTGAAGCTAAAGGACTGTGCTTGCAGAAGGCAGGTAGTGCATCATGAAGTAATGTACAGCAGCTAAAACAGCTGTATGTGCAGGTGGGGGTCGATATGTTCCGAAATCTTATGTGTGACTAGTGACAGCCCTCATATACCAAAATTTATAGTCCATGGTCTCATATTGTTTCCCACAAAGTATGCACAGATAGTTGTTTTAGCTACTGTACATACTGGGTTGTTGCAATGTTGACTTGAAGCAACAAAACTCCCACCCACTTAAGGCTTTTTTTATTTTAATCGATATCAGAGTGTAGATCCCGCCCGCTGGAGGGGCCGTGATGCTCACTGTCATTGGCTGAGATGGGGGAAGAGGCTGTAGGCTGGCCACTGTCATTGGCCGCCCGCTCCTCTCACTCACTCATTGACGGGATGAGAGCACCTTACGACACGAAAGCCAAGCCCATAATTTCCTGTCTGCCACAAATCAATGTTCTACCCTATTTTCAAAGGGCTTTCAACCTTATTTACAGTGTAGTAAGGATATCTTATTAACTACTATCGTATAGAATTAGGCTGAAAATAGTGCTTTCCAACAAAAAACGAGTTTTGCTCGGATGGTCTGAATGCACCTTACGATGCGGGACGCCTCAAATATTAAATGAGAGTAAATAAGGAGAAATTGGAAAATAAAGTAACTGGCTGAATAACTGTGCCAGTGGAGACAAGTCTACTTGTCTTGAGGGAGTTTGAAAATTAGTTATATGGTTATTGTAGGAGAATGATGACACCTGGAAAGCTTATTTGTAGACTTAATAATATTAAATGTTAGAGAATGATGACGTAAGTTAGTGAAATAAGTACGTACTGCAAGCATATTGGTATTAAAACAAAACAAAAACAATATTTAAGTACAGTGACCCCTCAGTTAACGAACTCAATCCGTTCCAGAAGGTCGTTCGTTAACCGAAAAGTTCGTTAACTGAAACCATTGTTTCAATGGGTTTTTGGGTAATTGGTTCCAGTTCACCGAAAATTTCCTAAATTCAACAAAAATGGTAGAAAAGTTCACTTACTTTGAGGTGTGTATGTAGAAGGCTCCTGGATGATGATGATGATGATGATGATGATGATGATAATGATGATGATGATGATGATGATGATGATGATGATGATGATGATGATGATGATGATGATGATGATGATGATGGGATTTAGAATGGGGGTGGAGGAGAAGGAAGAAGAGAAGGCATTGGGGTGGAAGAGAAGTCACCCCATGGCGCCATTTCACCCATAAAATTTTAGCTCTCTGGTGTAATTCAAGATTATTTTCTTTAAATCAACACTGCACTGCATTATATATTGTCAATATGTAAAATATATTTCAAAATGGCCAATAATTTGCTTGGAAACACAGAAAAAAAGCATTTAGTTGAAGAGAGTCTCAAGCAAGATGTTACCCCAGTGAAAACAGAGAGAGACTAACTCCTGTTTGCTGTGTTAAGAGGCTGGATGCCGCGCATTAAACTAGTCACTTTACCTTCAATTATGTTCAATAATTGTTAAAATGACTAAAAAATTGAATATTAAACTTTTAAAATTATTGAATAGTATAAACTTCTTGATATTTACTAAAATAGTAAGGAATTTAAGCCCTAGAACCGATTAATGTATTGGCGGACTGATACTAAAGCTGGTTGCCCGGTCAGTGCAAGCGAAAACATGTTGAGGTCGGTTCGTAAGAACTTCGTTAACCGAATTTTTTTCGTTAATCGAATTGAAGATTATGGAAGGCAGTTCGTTAATCGAAATTACGTTAACCGAGGTGTTCGTTTAACGAGGGGTCACTGTATTTCTTCAATTTACGTTTTATAAAATAACGAAAGAGGTGATTTTTCTTCATAAGTTTGGATAGTTCATTCATAAATTGAATCATGGGACAATATATATATATATATATATATATATATATATATATATATATATATATATATATATATATATATATATATATATATATATATATATATATATATATATATATATATATATATATATATATATATATATATAATATATATATATATATATATATATATATATATACAGTCAACCTTCACTTTACGCGGTCCCACATTCCGCGTTTCCACGTTTACGCGGTACCCTGCCGAAACCCAGGATGCTCACATTCCGCGGTGCGTGTACCCCTTTACGCGGAGAGTGTCCGGCTCGACGCTATTTTTAGATTCGCCCCTCCCGCCTGCTCCCGCCTCCGCCTGGGCAAGCCGCGCGGTAAGGTTGCGCAGTGCATGTCTCTGTTGCGTTATCAGTGACGTCATATGACGTATCGGACTGTGATTGGCCATGCATCCCTACCTCCTTCCGCTGCTAGCTGTAATTGGTTTAAAGTAATATGACGTGTCCACCCGGGGGAGGGAGGGAGGGAGGGAGGGAGAGAGAGGGAGGGAGGGAGGGAGGAAAGACGAAGCTTGACCTAGCCGCGGCAGTTTCATCCCTCCAGGCCACACCGTGTAATCGTGCATCCATTGTTCTGTAAAATGGCTTCCGCCGGACCGCCGCCCCCAGAGAGAAACCTTTCCTTGCCTGGACCCAGCTGCCCTAAGCCAAAGAAGACACGACGTTCCTTAAGCTACGAGGTGAAGTACAAGATCATCCAAGAGTTGGAGAAAGGAACAAGACAGGTTGATTTGGCGCGCCAGCATGGTGTGAACGAATCTATGATCCGGATGATAAAGAAGGATGCAGCCAAGATAAAGGAGCACATGAACATCACAAAGTCTACAGGTGCTTCTATGATCAAGTATTTCCACAACCAGGTGCTTCTCAAGACGGAAAAATTACTTGTGAGCTACTTGGTGCGTCAGTTGCTACGGAACATGGAGGTGGACACGAGCTCTGTTAAGGAGTACGCACGTGAACTGTATGCTGCAGTGTCACGAAAGACGGGAATTACAGAGCCCAAACCCTTTAGTGCTTCCTCTGGGGGGTTACAGAGGTTTAAGATGAGGAACAAGATCACCAATATCAACATTGGTGGTGAAGAAGCTAGTGCTGACCGTGTTGCGGCTAGGGAATTTCCTCCGTTTTTACGTGAGATTATGGAGGAAGGACAGTACACCGACGACCAGGTGTTTAACATGGACGAATCTGGTCTTTTTTGGAAAAAGCTACCTTCCAAGACCTTCGTTGTGAAGAATGCCAGCAAGATTCGGGGCCGGAAGTTGCAGAAGGAGCGCATCACCGTCCTGTTTACCACCAATGCCTCCGGTACCTGTAAGCTCAAGTTATCGGTGATCCACACAGCACGCAAGCCGCACGCCTACAAGAGCATGGACATGACCAAGCTAAATGTCCACTGGCTGACCGCACGTAAGGCGTGGATGTTCTCTACACTGTCCCTCTCCTGGTTTGATGACTTTCGTTCCCGATGTAAAGAAATTCTGTGAGCAACAGAATGTGCCATTCAAGATTTTGTTGCTGCTGGACAACGCACCAGGACACTCACCCCTACTGTTAGATCGTCACCCCAACGTAAAAGTGGTCTTCCTTCCTCCCAACAATACGTCCCTATTACAGCCCATGGACCAAGAGTTAATCTGTAATGTAAAAGCTGCATTCTCTACTAAAAAATTCAAGCTCCTGAACGACTACACCAACACCAGGGAAGAGTTGCGTAACCTGAGTGACACCACCACCGATAGCAAGAGCGAAGACGACAAGGATCAACAGTTGGCAGAGCAACAAGTACTTTTCAAACAATTCTGGAGAATATTCAACATCAAGAAAGCTGTGGACTTCTTGGTGGAGGCATGGGATCAGCTGTCTGTAGCAACTGTTCGTCACGCATGGAGACATGTGTTGCAAGGCATTCCGGCCGTTAGGCAGAGTCAATCTGTGACTGGTGAGGTTCAGACTGTTACAGTAGCAGTGGACCTTGCCAGAGAAGCTGCGCAGTGTGTTACAGCTGCAGGCTTCTCTGAGATCAACAACAACGACATCCTGGAGGTGATAAGGGATCCTGATGTGACTACCAACGAGATGGTAGATGATGATGACGTCAGTGAAGAGGCAGGTGGTGCGTCATCCCAAGAAGAACACCGCTTATCCCATAGTAATGTTAGGGGTGCCATCGAGTGTATCGAGAAAGTCAAGCTCCTCCTTTCCGATGACCCTGACGCAAACAGGTATGAAATCTTCACTACCCAGCTGTTGCAGACTATGGAGCCCTACTTCAAGGTTTATCACGACAACATAAACACCAGCCGTCAGCAAAGCATAACAGAGTTCTTCGCCCGCAACCCACCACAGCCAGCCCAAGCCAGTGATAGTGACAGAGGTAGAGACAGTGAAGATGACTTTGAGGGATTTGTCAGGGAGGCCCTGACAAGTGTGGATGACAGTGATGGTGACTCACCTGAGGGCCAGTAGCCTGCCCTCTGCCTCGGAACCAGCCTCCATCCCCGTATGCCGACCCATCTCTTCTACTAACGTAAGTGTTAAACCTAACTTTTAGTTTTCCCAACCTAACCTTTATTTTTCCTAACCTAACCTCTTCTATATTAATTGTGTGTGCATACCATCATAAAGTTAAGATAAAATTTTTACTACAACATAGTTGTGTGTTGTCAAAAAGTGGAGTTTGGGGGTCGGCCCGGTCTCTATTTCAATTAATCCCATATGTTATGTTGTTCACTTTACGCGTTTCTCACTTTCCGCGGTACCCTGTGGGTTGTATTAACCGCGTAAGTGAGGGTTGACTGTATATTTTTTATTTAAACTGAACCTTTGTAAATCAGGGAATTCCTGTAATTTTTGTTTGGAGCAAAGTAGAAATCTCACCAATATACATGAATTTTTGTATTACATTCAGGACATATGTCTTTAAAAAAAAAATCAAGCTGTATTACTACATAGTAAAAAGCTACATACAAGGTTTTTCGTGTGTTGGGGATTTTTCTTTGCCAGTCCAGTAGCTGAAGGCACCACTCAACCTTCCCTTCAGTGAATACATCTTGCTGGTGAGGTTTGCTGCTGAATTACCACCAGATCCTCCATTAAACTCTGGAGGGGACATGATGGACCCCCGCGAAGTCACAGATGTCAAGCTTGAGTTGCTACTCCGACGTTCACTGAGGTCATCACTTGGAGAAGCTACAAATACAAGCCAGTCTCCTTTAACAATCCTTCTATTAACATGACACAATTAGGCTGGACAGAGATATAATAGACAATGTGAATGTAAAGACTGGAGAGTCATTTGAATATTTGTAGTATAGAAACAATTCTCTTGAGTGAGGAATTTCTCTATTAACCCTTTGGATACCACAATAAATTTCATGGGAATTCTGCAAGTCTTTAATTCTCAAACCAAAAATGACAGGTTAATTTTTTTGGCTTAACTAGTTTTCACTTCACATGAAGCTAACAAAGAGGTTAAAGGCTAAAAGTTACCAAATTGGGGGGACAAATTAGACATTTGAGGGTGGGAGTTTAACTTCCTTAATTTAGATATGTTTTAATGAAGGGATTCCACCTTTAGGGGTGGGGGTCAGCCCCAGCAGGGCCAACCCATAAAATTTCACCTTTGAGACACTTCTGGGGTGCATGGCATTACCATACCATATTTCAGCTTTTTTATCTTTAATACTGTAGCTGTAGATAGCAATATAGACACACAACCAAACATACAGATACACAGACACTGTGATTTATAATACAGTCAGTCCCCGACTTACGACGGGGTTAGGGACCGACGACCAGGCCGTAAGTCGAATTGGTCGTAAGTTGAAAATGCGAAAATAATACATAGACAATTTAAAATGGGTGTCTCTTTTTCTTCTCAGCACCACGAGAACTCTCACTTTAACGCTTGCCAGCCATTTTAAAGGGAATTACAACGAAAATTTTGTCAGTACACAGCTCGATCACTAATGTCGGGACTCGAAAATACGTAATTTGAAAAAAAATTTGTATGACTGCGGCGGTCGTATGTCCACCGCAGCTGCAGGGAATATTAGTGTATTTATCTACTCATGCTTGGTGCAGCTGTATACTGTGTGTCAATGACAAACAAAACACACAGGTTGCCAATATGTTGTCTTAATATCAGGTGGATTTATACTGAAAAAAGCAAATTTTTAAATACAGTACAGTATACTGTACAGGCATTAATAATTTTTTAATAAATGTGATCGAAGGGCATTAATCAGTAATGTACATTATGTACCCCAATACTCTACAACAGTACCATCACTTTCAACACTTGTTGGTCTTTTTAAAGCTTTATTAAATGATAAATTAGAGCTAAATAAAAGCAGAGCACAGAATAGAAGAGAGAGAGCTCAGACTGATGGATGCAACCAAACTTTGTATGAATGCGGAATTAATGCCAAGACAGCAAAACACAAATCATACTGGACCATATTAGTTGCCACACCACAAGGTACTGGAATAAAGGGTTTCAACCTGTAGTTATGTCTGTACTGCTGTTTCTGAATTACCTACCTATTTACCTGGTTGATATATAAAATAATAAGAAATAATGCTTGGCTGCTTCAAAGGAGAAACTACTGTAGGTATATGCAAACTAAACACTTTTATTAAGGGATGGTTCTTGTCAAAAAATACCACAAGGTACTGCACTGTGTAATATTGATTGATGATTACGGCAACCCTTTTGAGGGCAGCGGCGCACTTAGGTATTTTATTCAGAGTAATACCAGACAATTTTATTCAGCTGAGAGAAACCCCTGCCCTACAAAGGGTTAATTAGATAAAACAAAATGAAATCTAAACTATACAGCAATAAATGTAAGAAATTTTTCAACATAATTACAACATAATAATGAGTCCTACAAACTTACTAATATTATCTGTGGTAATCTCATGAGGGAGACTCTCGTCATTTGTAACATTAATGATCTTGCTCCGTTCCGACCCATCCTCCAGCTTGTCCAGGTTTCCAAGTGCTAGGTTATTTTCTTCATATGATTCTGCCTCCTACAATAAAATAAAATACATTTTCATTAAGCTTCAGCCGAGATAAAATCAATATAGTACAGTACTGTGTTTATTCAAGCTGTGTGTATATACAAGTGATATCCCCGTTGGCTGGAACAATTGGTGCAGAGCACTTCCGGGCATCAGAGATTTCCGGGTAACGCGATGACTCTCAAAATTGGGAAAAAAATCCCTCATCCTCGGAATTTTCCGGGTAATGGAAAAATGTTCTCGGAAGTTCCAGGAATTGCCCATTACATCATCTCTCGAACCCAGAAAAATATCCCTCATTCCCAGAATTTTCCGGGTAACGGAAAAATTTTCTCGGAATTTCCAGAAAATGCGCCTGATTTTCATCTCTCAAACCCAGAAAAATATCCCTCATCCCCGGAATTTTCCGGGTATGGGGAAAATTTTCTCGGAATTTTCAAGAAAATGTGCCCCCCAGAAAATCGTTCCCAAAGCTGTAATTATCCGGAAAATTCCGGCTTTGAGAACGATTTTCCGAGAAAATTTCAATTCCGGCTATCGGAGAGTTCCGGGTTTGAGGGATTCTGGCCAACGGAGATATTACTGTACTGTATACATATATAAACACAGTAGTTCATTTCACCTGCAAATTCAGAGTTACAAAGACTGGCATATGGGAGGATTGACTGTATTATCTTTGTATATTGTAATACTGTATGTAAGAATTTTATGTTTGCAGATGTAAGGTAGGAGTGTGAATTTTAGGGGTTGAGAATCTAACACCCCTTTTATGATGTAAAAGTAGGGGTTCACCTTAAACAGCCTTTCCTCTTCACACACACACACACACACACCAGTAGAGGGTGTAAACATACCTATCAACCCATCCTGAAAAATAAAAAACTACGTGTACTGTGCTGTAATAGTTTTCAACAAGCGACCATAAGAGCCCTAAAAACCTGACCCATGGTCGGTCACAATGTCTGTTGCTAGTTTCTTTTAATATATTATCTCAATCTACATTTATTGACCTCCCATATTCGTACAGTATAGTGGGATCATAAGGGACACAAAAACCTCAAAGAAAGAGGGGATACAGTCGGGAGAGTTAGAAAAGGTCAAAGACAACATGTACAAATGCTCCACTTTTCCTCAAGTCCCACCATGTAGTATAAAAGCTCTTATACATGTTCACCTTAGCAATATCTGTAATTTCCATCACAGTGTTACGAAGATCTCCATTAGGTGCCGAGCTGTCCGCTGTGTCATCTACATTTTTCAGATCAACAGGGTCAGCCTCGTTACTGAAAATAAATTAAATCACTATTCATATAATCCATCATATATGTTTCTTCTATACACAGCTTTTATGAGCAAACAAAATATTAATATTTAATATACTTTTTAATAGCAATAAGCATATTCTTTCTATACACAGTACAGCACAGACAAGAAAATAATACCGTATGAACAAGTGAATATACAATTTAACTTAATACAGAGGCAGAGACAAAACATCCCACAAATGGAGAGAAACACAAAGTTGGGAAGGGGTAGTTGAAAAATATTTTCCATAAGTTAAATTTTTACATACAATGCATATATTGTATCAGTGATATTGTTTCTTTCAGAAAAACTAAATTTCTCACACAATTTAGTAAACTTGAAATTGTTACAGTAAAGACTTCAACAGCCAGTAATTGATTATTTAGTATTACTGTACTCGAAAATACTGAGCAAGAATTTAAGTAAGTTTTAAAGAACCATCATCATTCCCTAGCTAATAAACTTTGTACAGTCTCTTAAGAGTTTTGTACACTCACAGGGGTTATTTTAGTCCAGGGCCTTGACGTGCCTTTGACCACCAAAGTCAACAGGGATGTCCAAGAATTAGTCACATGCTGTGCTTGCATAGGCAAAGCAAAAAATTTTTCAGGTAGTGAGAGAGTGCATCAATTAGGACTGGTATTCACAAAGCCATCTGACTAGTGCTGGAGTGCGGCAGAACAGTACAGAACAGTGTTCCTGTACTTATACTTCTAGGATTACATCACTGTATCTGATAGTTACAAATGCATCTCCAACCCTGTCTTGCCAAGGTCTTCACCTCAAACCTCACAGGCTGGGACTCCAGAGAATCACTACCTTAGTTAGGGTGCATCTTCTATAACCCAGAGTTATCAATTAGACCCTAAAAAATTAATACATACTGTACAGTAGTACTGTGCATACATAACCTCTGTTACTAATAATTCCTCAGTGTGCATAATTACTGGTACAGGTATAGACCCTCAAATACGAGACCCCTGGGACCAAACCAAACTGGTTTTGAGGATTTTCCAGTTTCCTGAGTCATCCATGTTACCTTAGGCCTGCCACCAGACAAGTCAAGTTTTCCTTCCTCACACTGTGTCCCTCACACAGACTCAGTTGAATGTTAGTTTTAGTTAACTAAAAAAATAAAGAAGAAGCCATTATATCCAAAATTTAAATAAAACTATACATTAAATATAGTCCAGTCATACATTGAGAGTCCCCTAAAAATGAGTTAAAAGGGTTTGGTTATGTCCCAGCAGCTTCTAGGAGTTCCAACATTTGCCAAAAGTAGTGAGTTTACAAATAATTTGATTTAATTTGAAGTTCATTTAGTAAAGATTCATACATTAAAAGCATACATACACAAACATTTACTTAGAATAACACAAAGTATTAGTAATACAGTACTGTACGATACTTATTTCCAATATGGTTCTTGTTACAGAGTTCAAAATGACTGTTGGCAGCAAGGTGAGGACGTTAAGTTACAAATATGACAACAGTACAAGTTAAAAGTTAGTTGATTTTGAGCACCACCTAGCTTACTCCATAAAAAATATTTTACCCGGCATGTACATGATTTTTAAAAACATCTCTAAACTGACATTGTTTGACTGAGGGTGGTAGATCATTCCATAGACAAATACCAATATGTACAGTATACAAGAAAGTACATGTACTGTACTCTCACCAATACTATTTACTCTTATTCTTAAAACAACAGATGATAAGTCACTACACATGTTGTATAACCATTATAACATGACACCAATCAGCATGTAAGACAAGTTACCTTGAGACTTTGGTTTAAATGACCAACATTAGTTTCAAATGCAATGTGAAAACAATAATACTCTATTAACACAAATATATATAAATACTAAAGGTAATCAATATTTATTCAATCAGACAATTATTAGTTATGAACTTACTACTTTTGTCAAATACCACAACTCGCTAGAAGCTCCTCGGATGCAAATAAATAAATAAATAAATAAATAAATAAATAAATAAATAAACAATAGCTTTTAGGGAACTCTTAACTTCTAAATAAACTAAACCTTGTATAGTATTCAATGTATTATTTAATTTAAAGTTTACACACAATGATTTTTTTACTTTATTTTGTAATTTAAGAAGTAAAACAAACATTCAATTGAGTTTGAATGAGTGTGTGTGTAAGTAAAATCTGTTCAGGTAGTCAGGAAGAAATTGTCCCGAGACCAGTTTCGAGGATCTGTACCTGGCCTGCACAGCGTACACATACTGTACGTAATGACTGGAGGTACAACAAACATCATATGACAAAAGGTAACTATAGATCTTTTAACTGAAATATATGCACAGTCTATTTTCTATATACACACCATGTGATCATTAATGTTTTCTTAACCAAATTTTCTCTTAAAAAATTATTATGCTTTTCAGGCTCATATACAGGTAAAGGATTCACTTTTGCCACATTAATATTTTGAGAGAGAGAGACAGAGGTGTGTGTGTGTGTGCATACATGTGTGTGTGTGTGTGTGTATGTTGTGTACATGTATGTGTGTATGTGCAGGTGTATGTGCAGGGGTGTGTGTATGTGTTGAGTGCATGTGTATATGTGTACATTTATTAGTGTCTAGGAGGCTAATGATCAGTGTCATGCTAACTTTAATCCCTGACTACTTTTCAAATTGAAGTTGGCATGACATTGATTTCTAGATGCACAGACACACTAGCATCACACACACAAGCAAGCAAACAGGTGCCCAAAACAGCATTATTCCAACCCTTAAGACCTAATAAGTGCCTCTACCTTGACAAAAATCACCATTCAAGTTGTTTAAAAGATTACAACTGCCGTACACCCTCCTCTTGTATTTGAAACACCCAAGAGCAACAATGGATGTATTACAGTACAGTACAGGACTATATTCCTAGCTACTGTTTCCTACCTCTTCCATCTCCAGCTCCTATCTCTTCCAGCTCCAGCTCCTATCTCTTCCATCTTTAGTTCCTACCTCTTCCATCTCCAGCTCCAGCTCCTATCTCTTTCATCTTTAGTTCCCACCTCTTCCATCTCCAGCTCCTACCTCTTCCAGCTCCAATCTCTTCCATCTTTAGTTCCCACCTCTTCCATCTCCAGCTCCTATCTCTTCCAGCTCCAGCTCCTATCTCTTTCATCTTTAGTTCCTACCCTCTTCCATCTCGGCTCCATCCTATCTCTTCCATCTTTGGTTCCACCTCTTCCATCCAGCTCCTGCCTCTTCCGGCTCAATCTCTTCATCTTTAGTTTCCTACCTCTTCCATCTCCAGCTCCTATCTCTTCCAGCTCCAGCTCCTATCTCTTCCATCTTTAGTTCCTACCTCTTCCATCTCCAGCTCCAGCTCCTATCTCTTCCATCTTTAGTTCCCACCTCTTCCATCTCCAGCTCCTACCTCTTCCAGCTCCAATCTCTTCCATCTTTAGTTCCCACCTCTTCCATCTCCAGCTCCTATCTCTTCCAGCTCCAGCTCCTATCTCTTTCATCTCCATGTGTGTGTGTACCATTTAAAAAGGAAGTTTGCATATCATATTCACATTCATGTGGCTCTGCCCTGAAAAAGTCTCATGATGGACAGTAAAAGTGCACAGCTGAACAGCAGCTACAAGACGAGAATAAGCTTGGTGTAACTTGTGGTGGATAATAATGGTGTGCAAGAGGAGGAGTTCATTAAATGAAACTTGACAGTATAGTTTTGAAGCTTTATAAGGGGAAATAATATCTTGCATGGAGGAAGATAATGTACAGCATTACTATAATTTAGTGTCAGTATCCTGGTGATGGAGATGATTACCGGTAAGCCTGACTGTACTTCTCGCCTATTACCCTAAGCTGAACTTTAATAATCAAATAACAATAAAAAATTATAAAAAGAATAAATTAATATTAATAAGAATTTCTGTAAATAAAACAACTAACTCCAATAACAAAAGTTACATACAGTTTCAATAATAAAACACAAGATAGTCCTTAATTTGAGTATAATCATGATGTAGAGGTAAATAAATATACCCCCTGTATATAGTACAGTACAGTACAGTATATATATAAATAATGAACTAAGTTAAAATGTATATAAAATAACTGTCTATGGTAAAGTCATAAAGCATATGAAATCTAAAAAAAAAAAAAAAAAAAATTATAAAATGTCATATTAAAGTAACTTAAAACTAAATTAATAAAAACTAAAAAATACACACAGTGTAGACACAAAAAAACTGTCTACATGTATTTGGTCCCAGACTGACAAAATATTAAAGCTTAACTATAGTCAAGTACAGTGATCCCTCGGTTAACGAGCGCCTCGGTTAACGAGATTTCGGTTAACGAGTTGCCTTCCATAAGATTCTTAACTTCGGTTAACGAGCAATCCCTCGATTAACGAGTTTTTTACAAGCCGACCTCAACATGTTTTCGCTTGCATTTGGCGGTCCACCAGCTGTAGTATTAATCCGCTAATACAGTAATCGGTTTTAGGGCTTAAATTCCTTACTATTTTAGTAAATATCAAGAAGTTTATACTATTCAATAATTTTAAAAGTTTAATATTAATATTTTTTAGTCATTTTAACAATTATTGAACATAATTGAAGGTAAAGAAACTAGTTTCTGGCACGCCATCCAGCCTGTTAACACACAAACAGGCGTTAGTCTCTCTCTCTTTTCAGTGGAGGTAACATATTGCTTGAGACTCTCTTCAACTAAATGCTTTTTTTTGTGTTTCCAAGCAAATTATTGGTCATTTTGAAATTTATTTTACATATTGACAATATATACTGCAGTGCAGTGTTGATTTAAAGAAAATAATCTTGAATTACACCAAGAAAACTAAAATTTTATGGGTGAAATGGCGCCATGGGGTGACTTCTCTTCCACCCCAATGCCTTCTCTTCTCCCTTCTCCTCCATCCCCATTCTAATTCCCATCATCATCATCATCATCATCATCATCATCATCAT